ACAGCGCTGCAGTGGTGTGGCTCCAGCGGGGCGTGAGCTCCCACCGCTGGGTCACAGCTCGCAGCCCCGCCCCCTTACCACGCGGCTCCGAGCGGCGGGAGCTCAGGCCCCGCCCGAGCCACGCCGCTGCAGCGCTATCCAGGGCCGCTCCTGGACGCAGTGCGCTGAGGCGCCGGGGGGAAGCGGGGGGGGGGGGACCTCCGACATTCTCGTGGGGGCCCCTGTGGGGCCTGGGGCAAATTGCCCCACTTCTCCCCTCCCCCCCCCGGGCGGCCCTGTGACACCCAGACCAGGCTCAGCCCCAGGGGTTCTGCTCTTCCGGCTGACTCCTCCCGCCAGCCCTCAGTGACACACACGTGGCTGGGACGGTCATTGGTTTGGTTGCACAATGATCAATTTACCCTGCAGCCAGGAGGATGCTCCGTCCCCCCTGTCTGGGAGACGACCTGCGTCTCCGTGTCTGGGCACAGACTTTAAAGCGTCCTGTCCGTGTGGAGCCGCAATCCCTCGTGTAGAGCTGGCAGCGACACTGCACAATGGAGTTCATCACCAGGGTGTCCGCTGCTTTCAGAAACACCCTCACTCGATGCACTGACAGGACAATGCTATTGTACACGATCAGTCGATTCAATTGGTGATTATTTGGGGTTCAGACCCTCTGGTCTCCCCCTGGGGTGCCTGGACCCCGAGTGCTGCACACCGGTACTCAGCGTTAGGTGCCTAAATCCCTTTGACCGGGGCCGGCTCCAGGCACCAGCCTACCAAGCATGTGCTTGGGGTGGCACCTGGAGGGGGGCGGTGTGGTGCGGCGCTCCAGCCCGAGAGCGGGGCCGCGACTGGGCTTGCCGCCCTCCCCGCGGCGCTCCGGCCAGCGGGGAGAGCTGAGCCCCGGCCAGGCTCTCCGCCCTCCCCTGCCGCGCTCCCTGCCGGGCGTGGGGGCGGCGGGAGGCTTTTTTGCCTGGGGTGGCAAAAAAGCCAGAGCCGGCCCTGCCTTTGACGATCTCACCCCTAGACATATTTGAAAATTTTACATCAGGAAGAAGAATCTCCGCTCTGGTCTGGCTGTCTGAGGGGTGACATGATCCCGGTCTGTGCGTACACAAGGGGGGATTTCTGGGCGCAGACGGCCCTTTAACATCACGGACCCAGGCTGGGAGCTGACAGGAGACAAATTCAGACTAGAAATAAGGGGCGAGGTTTTTGCAGGGAGCGGTGTCCCCACTGCCCGTTTATCATGGGCTGTGGTGGATTTACAGACACTTACAGTCTTTAAATCGAGCTTGGACGTCTCTAAACACACGCTCTAGCTCAGCCAGCAGACATGGGCTGGATACAGGGCTCCCTGGCTGTGACGCACCATGTTACGCAGGAGGCCCATCGAAATGATCTGAACGCTCCCTTCAGAGACCTCCACAAAAGGTCAGAGCACTGGGCCCCTCTAGCCCGGTCTCCCCCACCCGCTACGGCCACCCCGGAGCAGACCCTGGATGTTCAACAGACTGTGTGAAGAGTGGGGGTTAAAGTTCCCCACATTTCCCCCTGACCTCATCAGCTACAGGCTCGTCCCCCGACGTAGCACAGTTCAGACCCCTTATATCCTCCCACCTGGTATAACAGGATCCTCGCCGTAGCCATATAAATCCCTGGTCTTGCTTGGAATTCTGTGGTGATCTTGGCCTCACTGAGAGCTGGTGGCGGTGAGTCCCACAGGGATCCCACCTCCACCCCGCCCCAAGAACACCAGACCGCCCGGGTTGGGATTAAGCTGTTTTTAGCCTGAAAGGTCCAGCTCTCAACATGAGGCCGTCTGCTGGCCCTGTTCCTGAAGTGTACATGGCAGAGGTATGTCCCTTTTGCTGGGAGCCAGGACTCCTGGGTTCTCTGCCTGCTCGGGGAGGGGGGGCTAGTGGGTTAGAATGGGGGGCTGGGAGACAGGACTCCTGGGTTCTCTCCCCAGCTCTGGAAGAGGAGTGGGGGCTAGTGGGTTAGCGCAGGGGGGCTGGGAGCCAGGACTCCTGGATTTTGTTCCCATCTTTGCTGTTGTCACACAGCAAATCCGTCACTTTCCTCTTTGTGCCTCTCCCCACCCATGAAGTGGGGCAGTAATGGTCTAGACGCGCTGGGGATTGTTGTGTTGTCACTCACCGCAAAGGGGGGGCTGTGGTGTTTAATTCATTACATTAATCAAGTGCCTGAAGTTCCCACCATGACAGACACGTTCTTGGGCTCCAGACCGAGGTACCTAGATGTTCTCCGGCCTGGGTGCTGCAGGAGGTCAGACGAGATGAGCCAACGGTGCCGTCTGGCCTTAGAATAAATTGAAAGAAAAAAATCTCCAGAGGCGGCGCTGGCGATGGGCAGAGAATTAATTGGTTGTTAGTTAATTGCTGTTCTGGTAACTGAAGCCCTGGGGCCAAGTTCTCAGCTGAGCCGAACTCCCGCCCAGCGACCGTAGCAAGGCCGAGATAGGCCCTGGCGGTTCCCAGGCGGGTGCCAGCGTCCCCCTGCCAGGGCTGCCCCCTCTCATGACTCTAGTGTGAGTCTCGCTATCATTGGTGTTTCCGTAAAGCCCCAGCTCCTGGAGTCATGTGAGTGGGGGAGACTCTCAGCTGGCGTTAGTCAAAGGGACATTTCCAGCCCCTGCCGTTGTGGAGAAAAGTTTGAAGTTGCGACCCAAGAGCGCCCTGACGGCTGGGAAAGGCAGAGAGGGGTCGGGGCCTCGGGTGGGGGCGGGGCGCTGCCCGGGATTCACGGCTCAGGGGGCGGGCCTAGAGTGGGGGCGGGCACTGCCCGGGATTCACAGCCCAGAGGGCGGGGCCTAGGGTGGTGACGGGGCGC